TTCATGCATAGGTAGGGCGGGATGTATGTAAAAAATAAAGTTTAGATGTTAGATATGCAAGTACATAGGAATTGAGTGGCATGAATGTGACTCTTCCAAAATTAATAGACAAACTACAACTTTTTAAAGATGCGGTCGTGTTCAAGCTCCCCTCAATTTAATAATAAAAGCATAAATGAACGAGCTTGAACAAAATAGTACTCAACCAAACTTGATTCATTTACAGCACTAAACGTACATTTAAAGGGGAACATGGATATAATTATGATTTACAAACTTACCTGAAGTTTGGAATTCAACATAGTTCTTCTGTTTTATTTGCAGACGAAACACAACCCGTCCTAAATCACTTGCAATAAATAGCCTGATCAATTTGAGGAGGAATCTGCTTGATTTCCGTTCCAAGCTCTTGTTCAATCCTGTAACTGTCATAAGCCACAAAGATAGAGTGAAATAAAAAACGTAGGAGCCAACACGAAGTGAAACAAAGTATGAAGGCAAAGTTAACATACAGATTGAAACGGTCCTCGTATGTGATCAAATTGACTGCTAAACCGAGGTGACCAAACCTTCCCGAGCGACCGACCTGAAATAAGAGAAACAACACAAACTTGTGAGATTATTAGGTAAGGTGAAATATTGATAAAATCGAGTTTGAATTTGATATGAGATCTAAATTTCTTTGGTGGATTCATTTATTAACATTAATTCTATATATTTTTCGATTGGTTTTGCTAGAATTCATGATTTTAATAAAATATTACACAAGTGAGGTTCTAGCTGTGGTAAATAATTTTTAAATGTGCACTAATTTTGTGTTATTATTATTTTTTTTTTAATTTCTTTGAATTTAATCATTTATTACATTAATGTTTGAGTTTTAAATGTTTAGTGATCTTTGATAAGTGAATCTTAAGTTCTTTACATGATCAACATGCATTGCACCATTCTAGTAGCACTGAAAAATCGCAGACCCAAAATCATCCTCCATCAGATAGTATCAGAGCTTATGATTACATCCAAATAATGTAGTTTAAATAGGACAAAGTAAGTTGAAGTATAAATAGCCACATTGCTTATTTGATGAGAGGTACAATTTTGGGCAATCTTTAAATTAAATCAATAAAATAGAATATTTCCGTAAGAAAATATAATATGTATGATTTACAAATAGTTAAATGTGCAAATCAAAACTAGCAAGGCATGCACAATCATTTTAGTAAAATGTTGCCAACAATTGCAACGGGCTTATGTGAAAAATAGACTTCAAAGACCAATATTTCTCATTTGGAATTTATAGATTATAAACAAGGTAAATAATATGCAAGATTTATAAGTTCAACAACTAAATTGAAAGTCAAAATTAAAGTTTACAAGTAAAACAAATCATGAGATAACATATGAACTTGAATTCCAATAAATTTGGTTAAATGTTTGTATGTTTATTCGGTCAAGTGTTTGTCAAGAAAACTGAAGGAATCACAAGTACTGTAGATGTCAAATTAATCGAGCAATCTGTAAAGATGGTTATTCATGAATCAATAATATATATTATTCCAATCATAAATTATTGAAGTGATGCTGACTTTGTTTATTAATCTTGCCTTAACGACATAAGAATTCATAAAAATTACTTGTTTGAGAGAATTATGATGAGCTAAAATATAAGAAAATTTCTTAATGATGAACACCTGAAAACAAGCCTAAAATTTAACTCCATATGTATGATCAATGATAAAGAAGCATAATTAATTAAAAATAATATTTAAGTCATTTAGCTTAATCTTTTAAAAAGGTTACTAATCTATATATGCATATTAATCAAGTCAAGTACATTGATGCCAAATTGTAGCACCTGCAAAAGTTAACTACTTCCTACAGATCTGAATTTTTTTATATGAACATCAAACTACTACAAATAATTAAAAATAAACTACTTCCTACAGGGGTGAGAAAATGATCAAGATGCCCTCCCACCTATTTTTAACAGCCTATTTTTGTCTCAAGCTACATAAAAGGTTCAATTAATCCATAGATTACTAAGATATGAGCTAAAATATCCTGATAATATAAGAAACAAAAATTGACGTTAAAATTAATATATGATCTTAAAAATGAGGGAATTTTAGGAATTTATATCATTTAAATTAAAAAAAATATATATAGTTTTTTTATTTGTGTGCAGTATAATCTATGGATATTATTTCAAATATTATTATTAGAATATATATTAATGACTAGTAATAGCCATTACTAATTCCTCTTTATTTTGAGTTATTAGCTTTGATTCTTTATTATTCCTTTCCTTTTTCTACTGTATCTTGTTTTTATTTCTTTTTTTGCTTGTAGAACCTATAATGGGTATGTAAACAACTTTTTGTATCAATAAGAATTACCTTGGTTCTATTCTAACATGGTATCAGAGTCATGGTCCTAACCTAGCTACTGTCGGGCCTCTCCTTGCCGCAGGCTGGCCAATCCGGGCATCGTTTCTTCCCTCTTGAGTTGGCTTGGTCTTTTTCGAGGAGCTCCGGAGCAGGATAGGTCCTCTTTTCAGGCGCTAGGTTACAGTCCAGCATGCCAGATGCAATTCAAGTTCCTTTGTTCTAACTAACAAGGAGGGCCACCTCCCAGCTGCTGAATCCCTTGCCTAAGAGTCTACTCTCCCTCAAGGTTTGACGAAGCTCCTCCAAAAACCTCTGTTCTAACCACCAGAGCCTTCTTGCAGCCGGCCAGAGGATTTAGTCCAGATGGAACATCTTCTTGAGGCCATCCGTCAGTCGGAACCTTTCGATGTCTTAACAACTCGTTTGGCTCAATCGAAATCTTGCGGACACCACCAGCACTTGCTATCATCAAAAGAAGTTCTTAAGTCCACCAGAGGATCAACTCCAACCTTTGTTCTTCTGCAAACCGAAGGACAGAAAAACAACATGAGCTTCTTGATCACAACCCAAAACTAAAAGACAGTAATTTTCTCAAATGGTCAAAAGTTGCATTGTTGTTTATCAAAAGGCGTGAGAAATTCGGTCATCTCACTAGCATGATTCGTGAACCGCCAAAAACTAACCCGACATATGGAGCTTGAAAAGCGGAGAATTTCATTGTCATGTCATGGCTGATCAACTCGATGGAGACTTCGATTGGCCGGTCATATATGTTCCTTCCTTCTGCTAGTGCCCCCTGGAAGACAATTCGTGATACCCACT